ATATTTCTTTCTAATGACAGGGCCACCTCATTGTTGTGCCATTGCCATCTACAACATTACGGGAGTTCCATAGTGGGGAAAACGCTCTTGTCCTGTGTGTGTTCTCTGTGGACATAAAATTACAGAAATAAGGCGTGAACAAAATGTAGTTTGCTTAGGGTTGCCATGGAACTGTGTGTCAAATCTTCAAGCAGATTGGTGGGGGTGGGGTGGTTAGTGGTTAAAGCGTTCGCTAGTCATGCCGAAGGCGCGGGTTCGATTCTCAACATGGGTGCAATGTGTGAAGCCAATTTATGTTGTCCCCCGCCGTGATATTGCTTTGATATTGCTAAAAGTGGCATAAACCGAACTCACTCACTCATTCAGGCAGATTACCACTGAAGAAATAAATATCAGTTGAAATCACATCATGACATGTGAAGTCACAGGGAAAGTGTCCGACTACAGTAGTACAATGGAATGTATACTGAAAAACAATACGATAATTGAGTTTCTGTAAAAATATAATACTCATATGTCATATGAAAATTACCCAAATATATAAATATCTTATGTAATTTTTACATTGTCTTGATTGTTGTAATGATTGTACTAATACAGTGATCGATCAATGTAATCAACATACATTGACACTACTGTACTTTAAGCGAGTGAGTGAATGAGTTTCGTTTTACGCCGCACTCAGCAATATTCCAGCTATATGGCGGCGGTCTGTAAATAATCGAGTCTTGATCAGACAATCCAGTGATCAACAGCATGAGCATCGATCTGCGCAATTGAGAACCGATCACATGTGTCAACCAAGTCAGCGAACCTGACCACCCGATCCCGTTAGCCGCCTCTTACGACAAGCATGGGTTACTGAAGATCAATATTCTAACCCGGACCTTTACGGGTACTGTACTTCAAGTAATAATATTGGCTACTTCATGATCCACTGTCATATGACAGTTTCTTGTATGTGCAATAAACTATTTCCAAGTCTCTTTCAAGTGCTTTATCATTTTTTTTAGAGCGGGTTCGATCCCCGACCGCGTCATACCAAAAGACGTTGAAATGTGGCACTTGTTGGTCCCTGCCTGGCGCTCGGCATTAATGGGTACATCAAGGACTGGTCGGCTCGGAGTCAGTATAATGTGTCTGAGTGGGGTATTCATACTTCACTGCAGCATGGTATCTCAGTGGGCTAGCACTATAAAACCAGCTTCAGTCTGGGCTAGTACAAGCAGCCGCACATACACACGCATGCACGTCGTCATATGAGTTAAATATTCTCAAGCACCACGTTAAACCCAATTTCACCTCACCTCACCTTTATTAATTGTAATAGTTATAATTATAATTGCTCTCACTAAGGTAATATTTCCCACATAAGTGAACAAGATTCCACGTTCACTTTGCAGTATTAACACGTTTCATTTCAATGAATTTTGTAAAAGTTTCTTTGGTTTAAAACGCTGCCAGACTCAGTTCTGCATTGAAGTTCTGAGACTTCGGCAGACAAACCAGTGGTTGATATTGTAAGCACTGTTTACATCATAAGTGTATGATGGCACGAAATAAGCAAAAGAACCGATTTTGATCACCCGATTTGTTAATGTCCCCTATTAAAACAAAATGATAACTAGATTCCAAAGGCAGCATTTTGCTACATATAATGGTCATACAATGCGGCTGTATATATACACCTGTGCATTAATTAAGCACCACCCTATTTTGAAAATAAGATGTGATGCTACAGAAATGTTAGGGTATAGCCATCAATTTAGTCAACCTGTAGTTAAAGAAGCTTTATCCACTGACAGTTTTACAAATACCATAACCTATTCTATTCTTTAAGAAAGAATATGTTGATGAAAATGCGATGGGACTGAATTTTTACCCCAAATAACTATTCTTCTCCTTCTCAAACTACACAATTAAATTAAGTTTTGACTAAAAATAACAATTCTGTTATATACCAAGATGACATTTACACATCAAGTAAGCTTTAATTATGCATAATCAGGAAGAACCCAAATGTCAAAGATTCAGACCTTTTCCCAACAATTCAGATTGCTAATTGACAAAAACAAAAAAAGGCCACATTATTAAGATTTTGGAATAAATTGTTTATGATTTTGAGTTATTGTAATGAATAAACTCTTCTCCTTGCCGGATAATGATAATTACAGCTAAGATCTCTTTGTTTTGTTTGTAAAGCAACTTTTACTGCATTTTAAAATTTTCCTTTTTTTAGTTTGACTGTAACTTTTCCTAAATCTTAGTTTACAAACTTTCCTCCATTCACCATAAATAACGAATTTATAGGCCACAAAACTATCAGTTATTACTTTCAGTTATTTACAGTTATTTTTGGGAAAGAGTTCAGAATTTCATTTCAGACAAAACTAATTGGTAAAAATATAGGGTGGTGCTTGATTTATGCACAGATGTATATTAAGCAGATATTGCAGGAGCCTACATATTACTCCTTTAAGACGGAGATGGAATAAGAGTTATCGTTCTTGTTTCACAGCCTTGACAAGTTCATACCACATCATAGAGTCTTTTGTGAGGAACGCGTGTATCCAAAGACATATACGGAATCTTTCGAAAGGGATCTAGGCATCAACTTTCAAAAGTGCCTGACAGTTTATCTCTCGAAATTGGACAAAATGTTATCACGCAGTCCGACTCTGCAAAAATCTTGGTGTCATCTTTCAATCAACAATGTCATTAGAAAATCAAATCAAATCACTCAGCAAAGGATGCTTCTACCACATCTTCAATATTAGCAAGATCCGAAAGCTCTTAGACTCCAACACCGCCCAGCTTCTATCGACCAGACTTGTTCTCTATAAACTTTATTACTGCAACTCCCTCTATTACAACATTCCTCAACAGCTCCTTTCACAACTCCAATGGATTCAGAATTCAGTCACTCGTGTTGTTGCCCGTGCACCACGCTACCAAACTGTGACACCTATCCAGCAAACTCTTCACTGGCTTCCTGTATCAAGCAGAATTCAATACAAACTTCTTCTTCTTACACACAGCTGCATCTATGAAAACCAGTTTTCTCAATATCTTAAAAGTCTCGTTCATCTCCATGTTCCATGCCCATGACTCCACTCGTCAACCTCACGTCAAAACAGCCATGGGATCAAGAGCGTTCTCTGCTGCAGCCCCCTATCTCTGGAACATTCTACCACTCGCCCTAAAAGAAATAGAATCTGCTGACGCTTTCAAAACTGCCCTCAAAACTCATCTGTTCAAACTCTCTTTTCCATAGACATTGTCTACAATCTTTTTTGCTTTATAGCGCCATTGAGCAATATGGTTTGGAAATGGGTGCTCTATAAATCAATTATTCTTACATTATTATTATTAAAGGGCGAATGAACAGGTGCATGATTTAGGCATAGATATTAGGCTTGTCCTGGAATGACACAAGTTGGGGATGAATATAGCAGAATTCAGTAAACCTCTTTGTTATCAAATATGGTGCATTCGTCAGACCAATCCATGATTGATGTAGTCTGTTTCACTCGGAACCATTTTTGGTGGAAATTGAACATATTAGTAATCAGACTGCCTCTCTTTTTCCTTTTTTCCACCACTTCCAAGCCAGGCAGCCAATCCTACCAGCGCAAAGGCCCCACCAACGGCTAGTGCAGTCAACAGACCATCAACCTGAAGGAATTGGAAAAGATTGATGCCTTATACGCTTTCTACAGTCATAATGTGTTTCCAAAACCTCGGAGAAAACTACTTTAATACTACGGTTTTGCAAGAAGAAGCATCAAATATATTTTCTATGTGCTTGTAATGTGTTACGAGGTCAAAAGTAATTTGTCTTTTTTTCTGAAGCATGAATATGTTCTAGGCCGCCTTTAACAATATCCCAAGAATATCACAGGAGTGGACACCTGGAAGGGGCATCACACATTGTACCCATGTGAGGAGTCATCCACTAGGCTAACCCACCATCCCTCTTAGTGAAGAACTTGTATGTCTTGAGTAGGATATTTGCAAATACGTTGTTATGGCGAAAACCCATAGGCGAACATAATGCTTCCTTTAAAAGCAGACATCTTCGCGTGGCAGGAGTATTGAAAAACTTTCTTTAGAGGCGAATTCTTTAGCGATCACTTCATGTTATTTTACTACTATTCTACCATTTAACAAAAGAATCTGTTTTGCAACATAGACGAGACTGACCATCTCTGATGTTGACGTTTTATATAAAGATGCCTCAAGACAAGTTGGTACAAAACCTTCCTGACCTGGGTCTCCTTTCACGAAGCAACCTTTGCTGAGGTTAACCTTAACTCCCATTCTTTAACATTGCACTAAGGTTACCTTAGTGACTTACAATCACCTTAGTACTTTGTAAAAGGAGGCCCTGGCCAATAGAAGATGAGACTGTTATTCTTAGATGTCCCTTCGCAACAATACCTTCCAGAATTAGCCACAAGTAAATAGGTCTTTAATGGCAAGATAAATATTTGTGTCTTAGCAGATCTAAACGTAATTGAAGAGTCGATCTTCTAGTCCAATTTACAGAGCTTGCCAAATGAACCTTGGCAAGGGAACAGTTGGACAAGTACAAACCTGTTCACTTTCTTCTTTGTCATACCGGCACCATGAAGCGAAGTGTTCACAGTTCTTATAGAGTATGTTATATCCAACTTCTCCAACTTTGGATAATGCTCTTTGCACTATCCTATAAGGTTCATATGGCCTGAAAACAACAGTACAACAATGTGATCATTTGGAACTTAATTCCTTGGTATTAATGGAGACGATAAAAAGGGCATAAACAACTGGATATGAACCATTGTCCAGGATTTCAAAATGAACCGTTCTTCTTGGGTCGTTTCTGGGAGTAACATTTACTTCCGACAGTATCATTTATTGGTTTATCTGATCCAAAATCAATTATATAAATGTCATGCCATCTTACAGCAGGAAAGATGATAAATACTGAAGTGAACAACAAACAAAACTCACTTTAATTTTGTGTCCTTTGAGTTGTTCTTGTACACTTTGCTGTCTCCAGCAACTGACCAAAAATTATCTATGCGAACGACTCCTTTGTCGAACACTGCTCCACTTATTGCGAATGCGTGAATCAGATTAGTTTCCCCTTGATCATCCACCCCAGCCAAGTGCACGACTTTCTCGTTACCTAAATAACACATGACAAATATGTTAATATTAAGTTTGATACCTGTGCAGTTTTGTCAGAAATAACGGGATGACCGATACACAACCTCTTTATTAACTTCATGATATGACATGATGCTCATGGTGTTCATGGTGTTAATCTTTCAGTAAAGGTATATACAGGTTATATAGTATCTATGTGTAAATATTTAAGCATTTCAGAGATTGACTATTTACACCTTGGCAACAACATTCTGTAAACAATTGTGTCTGGGTCAGACCATCCAGTGATTGGCATCATGATAATGCACCACCCGATCCAATTAGTCGCTTTTTACGACAAGTATGCGTTGCTGAATTCAAATTATAACTGGGCTCTTCGCAAAGATGGCATATGCATCATCAACTACATTGAATGACAGAGTACTTTATTCACATTTGCATTGTGTAGATCTTAAAATATCAGACATTTACTTATTGTGATCTTTTATGCTTGAATCTTTGAATAACAACAATTGCCTGGATCGATGCTTATGATTTCAACCACTAGACTGCCTGACACAGCCGAATGTTCCCGACATAGCATTCAACAAGGGAATAGCAAACAAAAAAATGCATTAATATTTTGTCACACTACACTTACCAACGTACACAGCCCAGTGACTGAACAGTCCTCGCTCAAACTGCAACCTATCACCTGGTTCCAAGTTGTCAAGTACTGTCCGGTTATGCCTATGTAGTTCAAGGGAGGACATATTTACTCTTCAACTATACAGTTAGTGAATTGTGTCTCCAAATAGGTATGTTTCTGAAACGCCAAGAGAAAATGCAGAATAATATTCTTCTCACACAAAACGTACAAATACAATGTCACAATCAAGGAGCCCTACAATCAACGACAAGAAGATGAATTTGTCCATTAAGATCAATGAACTGCGGGAAGATTACATGGTCAAGCAACAAAAAGCGAAATCGCAACTGCTTTGATTATAGTTATTGCTAATATTGCTAATATTGTCCAGTTTGACTGTCATCTTCAACGCATTTCCTGTACCTTATCACCTTACAATCTCGAACGGAAATTCCATTACCAAATGCCTGTGTTCAAAGGTAGGTGAATGAAAATACATTTTATGTGTGAAAACTAGTCATCATCATTAGGCTACATATACAGATTAACAACACGTTTTCTTTGGGGAAATTTGGAACCTTGGAAATATGTTTTACAGATATATACTGGAGACATGATTATAAGCTTCAAAATCGTAAACATGCACTGCATCACATTTACTATAATGTTGCATCATGCTGTAATAGTGCGCCTATGTTGCACCACTCAATGATGAAGGAAAAAGATTGTAATAGTGTTATAATGTTGCAGCGATCTTTCCTTTAAGGATGGGTAGAGAATGTTCCTATAGTGTTATAATGTTGCATCATGAGGTGTAATAGGAGTTTGACATAAGATGTTGAGGTTTTAAGATCATGCTAAGTAGATTGTAATTCTTCTTTAAGGAAACCAGAGTTATAATGTTGCATCATGCTGTAATAGTGTTGTAATGTTCCATCATGCTGTAATAGTGTTACAATTTTGCATCATGCGAGACTTTAAGATATTGAAAGATAATTTTGCATCATGCTGTAATAGAAGTTATAATGTTGCATCATGCTGTAATAGTGTGGATAATGTTGCATCAGTCTTGGTATGTAATAATGCTATAATGTTGCATCCGTTGGAGTTGTAATAGTGTTGTAATGTTGCATCATGCTGTAATAGTGTTATAATGCTGCATCATGATGTAATAGTGTTATAATGCATTGCATCATGATGTAATAGTGTTGTTGAATGTTGCATCATGCTGTAATAGTGTTATAATTTTGCATCATGCTGTAATAGTGTTATAATTTTGCATCATGCGCTGTAATAGTGTTATAATGTTGCATCATGCATCATGTTGCATCAAGTAATAGTTGTCATCAATAAGCATGATAATGTTGCATCAGTGCTTTCGGACAATGATGTAATAATGCTTTATAATGTTGCATCGTGTTGTAATAGTGTTATAATGTTGCATCATGCTGTAATAGTGTGATAATGTTGCATCATGATGTAATAATGTTATAATGTTGCATCATGCTGAAATAGTGTTATAATGTTGCATCGTGTTGTAATAGTGTTATAATGTTGCATCATGCTGTAATAGTGTTATAATGCTGCATCATGATGTAATAGTGTTATAATGTTGCATCATGCTGTAATAGTGTTGTAATGTTGCATCATGCTGTAATAGTGTTATAATTTTGCATCATGCTGTAATAGTGTTATAATTTTGCATCATGCTGTAATAGTGTTATAATGTTGCATCATGCTGTAATAGTGTGATAATGTTGCATCATGATGTAATAATGTTATAATGTTGCATCGTGTTGTAATAGTGTTATAATGTTGCACCATGCTGTAATAGTGTTATAATGTTGCATCATGATGTAATAATGTTATAATGTTGCATCATGCTGTAATAGTGTTATAATGTTGCATCATGCTGTAATAGTGTTATAATGTTGCATCATGCTGTAATAGTGTTATAATGTTGCATCGTGTTGTAATAGTGTTGTAATGTTGCATGATGCTGTAATAGTGTTATAATGCTGCATCATGATGTAATAGTGTTATAATGTTGCATCATGCTGTAATAGTGTTATAATGTTGCATCATTGCTGTAATAGTGTTATAATGTTGCATCATGCTGTAATAGTGTTATAATGTTGCATCATGCTGTAATAGTGTTATAATGTTGCATCATGCTGTAATACTGTTATAATGTTGCATCAAGCTGTAATAGTGTTGTAATGTTGCATCATGCTGTAATAGTGTTATAATGTTGCATCATGCTGTAATAGTGTTATAATGTTGCATCAAGCTGTAATAGTGCTGTAAGTATAGTGTTATAATGTTGCATTATGCTGTAATAGTGTTATAATGTTGCATCATGCTGTAATAGTGTTATAATGTTGCATCATGCTGTAATAGTGTTGTAATGTTGCATCATGCTGTAATAGTGTTATAATGTTGCATCATACTGTAATAGTGTTATAATGTTGCATCATGCTGTAATAGTGTTATAATGTTGCATCATGATGTAATAGTGTTGTAATGTTGCATCATGCTGTAATAGTGCTGTAATGTTGCATCATGCTGTAATAGTGTTATAATGTTGCATCATGATGTAATAGTGCTGTAATGTTACATCATGCTGTAATAGTGCTGTTATGTTGCATCATGCTGTAATAGTGCTGTAATGTTCCATCATTTTGTATTAGTGTTATAATGTTGCATTTTGTTGTAATAGTAGTGTATATTTGTTTCCTGATGTCATGCCCAGAGTTTTCTATGTACAACGTGTCAACCTGATGGTGTGTTTGATATTTGGTTTTCCAAGACTCGAATTTCCCAGGAATCCAAACTGCGCTATTTTTATTGCGACAAAGGTTGCAACAGGTTCATATTAAGCCAGTGATGACCCGACCTATGTAAAGCGTCTTGTTTAACGTCAGATCAGAACAACATCACTGCAGTTTGACTACACCCCTGAAGCGGACAATCCTGTGAATGTTCTTGAGGGCTGTGTCCTTCGTCCGAGACATGAAGGCACCTCTTATCAAAAACATATGTTGGGACAAATAACTCAAAAGTCTCAACCGTCTTTGAACAACACTATTATAAGTAATGTCAGGATGTCAGCGGTCATCCCAGTCTATGTTGCTTGTGGTCGTTGTAGGGGTTACAGGCAACAGATTTTAAAATATATTCTGTAACATTTTACAGCAACTAAACTGATAGCGAATGCATGACATGCACAGTGGCAATGGTATGACCCTCTGTAAGATTTGAGAGCAATAAAGTGTCGTAGTGTTGTTCAGTCGGTCGTCATGATCTCATAGTGTTAGCATGTCGGTCATCATGATGTCATAGTATTGTTATGTCGGTCATCATGACATCATATGTTGTTATGTCGGTCATCATGACGTCATAATGTTGTTATGTCGGCAATCATGACGTCATAGTGTTGTCACATCGGTCATCATGACGTCATAGTGTTGTTATGTCGGTCAAATGACGTCATAGTGTTGCTACCTCGGTCATCATGACGTTATAGTGTTGTTATGTTGTCATCATGATGTCATAGTCTTGTTATGTCGGTCTTCATGATGCCATACCGTTGTGATGTTGGTCGTCATGATGTCCTAGTGATATCATGTCGGTCATCATGATGTAATAGTGTTGTTATGTCGGCCGTCATGATGTTATAGTGTTGTTATGTCGGTTGTCATGATGTCGTAGTGTTGTTATGTCGGTGGTCATGATGTCATAGTGTTGTTATGTCGGTAGTCATGATGTCATTGTGTTCTTATGTCGGTCATCATGATGTCATAGTAAAGTTTTATTGGTCGTCATGATGTCGTAGTAAAGTTATGTCAGTCGTCATGATGTCATAGTGTTGCTATGTCGGTCAGCATGATGTCATAGTAATATCATGTCATCATGGGGTCATAGTGATGCTATGCTGAGCGTCGTTATGTCATAGTGTTGCTATGCCGGTCAGCATGATGTCATAGTGATATCATGTCATCATGGGGTCATAGTGATGCTATGTTGGGCGTCGTTATGTCATAGTGTTGTTATGTCGTCATGATGTAGTAGTTTTGTTATGTTGGTCATCATGATGTCCTAGTATAGTTATGTCGGTCATCTTGATCTCATACTCTTGTTATGTCGGTTGTCATGATGTCATAGTGTTGTTATGTCAGTCGTCATGATGTCTTAGTGTTGTTATGTCAGTCATCATGACGTCATAGCATTGTTATGTCGGTCAACATGATGTCATAGTGTTGTTATGTCGGCAATCATGACGTCATAGTGTTGTCACATCGGTCATCATGACGTCATAGTGTTGTTATGTCGGTCACAATGACGTCATAGTGTTGCTATCTCGGTCATCATGACGTTATAGTGTTGTTATGTTGTCATCATGATGTCATAGTCTTGTTATGTCGGTCTTCATGATGCCATACCGTTGTGATGTTGGTCGTCATGATGTCCTAGTGATATCATGTCGGTCATCATGATGTAATAGTGTTGTTATGTCGGCCGTCATGATGTTATAGTGTTGTTATGTCGGTTGTCATGATGTCGTAGTGTTGTTATGTCGGTGGTCATGATGTCATAGTGTTGTTATGTCGGTAGTCATGATGTCATGGTGTTCTTATGTCGGTCATCATGATGTCATAGTAAAGTTTTATTGGTCGTCATGATGTCGTAGTAAAGTTATGTCAGTCGTCATGATGTCATAGTGTTGCTATGCCGGTCAGCATGATGTCATAGTAATATCATGTCATCATGGGGTCATAGTGATGCTATGCTGAGCGTCGTTATGTCATAGTGTTGCTATGCCGGTCAGCATGATGTCATAGTGATATCATGTCATCATGGGGTCATAGTGATGCTATGTTGGGCGTCGTTATGTCATAGTGTTGTTATGTCGTCATGATGTAGTAGTTTTGTTATGTTGGTCATCATGATGTCCTAGTATAGTTATGTCGGTCATCTTGATCTCATACTCTTGTTATGTCGGTTGTCATGATGTCATAGTGTTGTTATGTCAGTCGTCATGATGTCTTAGTGTTGTTATGTCAGTCATCATGACGTCATAGCATTGTTATGTCGGTCAACATGATGTCATAGTGTTGTTATGTCGGTCGTCATGACGTCATAGTGTTGTTATGTCACTTGTCATGATGTCATAGTGT